CTGCCGGACCCCCCGGTCCCTGCCCGCCCTCCTCACGCCCCCCACCCGCGCCCCTTCTCAGCACCCCGGCCTGTGCAGCGCGCATCGCGCCCCAACCCGCACAGCACCCCCTGCTCCCCTCCCGCACAGCACCCACTGCTCCCCCATCGCACGGCACCCAGCCCTACCCCCTCCGCTTCCCTGTGACCCCCCGGCCTCCCCAGCGCTCCCACCAGCCGCGGCGTGGGTGCTGCCTCCTCGGGGTGCCCCGTGGCAATGGGCGCTGCGCCCTGCTGCTTTCGCTTCCCCTTCCCGCTCCGGGGGATGTGCCACAGTGCTAGGGCGGGGGGACATCCCAGTCGGGAGGTGTAGGGCACGTGCCTGCCCCGGTGTCACCCCAAAGCTGGGGCCGGGAAGGTGCCCGGGTGCGTGGCACGGCGGGGTGCCCCGGGGCAGGGCGAGGGGACGGCTGGGCAGGGCGGACAGGGTGACATCTCCGGGGCAGGATCTGGCCCAGCCGGTAGCGGGGGATTCTTGAGATGGGACTCTTGGGAGGGTGCTGGTTTCTGCAGGATAGGGGGGATACACATGGAACACCCCCAGGAGGGTCATGGCAGTGGGGCAGGGGCAACACCCATCCTGAGGGTCCCCCACACCCCAGGCAATGGCAACCACCCCTGGGTGCTGGGGCAAAGGGCCCTTCCTGGGAGCAGGATGAGTGGAGTCTATTGATCATGGAACCCTTGGGAAACAGGATGAGGGGTGATGGTGGGATCCCTGTGAGTCAGGGTAGTCATGGTAGCAGCATGGTGGGTGTCTATTGATCATGGAACCCTTGGGAAATGGGATGAGGGGTGTCTGTGAAAACCCCATGGATCAGGGTGGTCACGGAAGCAGGATGAGGGGTGTCTGTGGGGTCCAAATGGGTCAAGGTTCATGGTGGTGGTGTGGTGGCCATGGGAGTTCCACCATCCCAAAGGGGAGGTCCCATTCCATCCTATCCCATCCCAGACCTTGTCCCCACTGCCAGCCCCATGGAGGCGGGGCCCCATCCTTCCCGCCCCTGGCCATGGGGCCCGGCCCCACAGCATTTAGGGACCCCCACCCCAAGCCTCAGCAGTGCCTGCCTGGCCTCGCGCTCCTCCAGCTTCCACACAAGCTCCCAGGTAAGCACTGCGGGGTCCCCAAAACTGGCACTCCCTGCATGGCACCCCTCTGACACCCCCCGTGCTGGGGGGCTGTGGGGCACAGGGGGTGTTCCCTCAAGGAACGGTGGGTGTCTGGGCATGGAGAGGGAGAGGGTGACAGATGGGGGACTGCAGCTCTGCCCCCGGGTTTGGGGGTGTCTTGTCCCTGAGGTCCCCCTAGGTGACCCTACATCGGCAGGGCAGCCTGGGTACGTCAGTGTCCAGAGGATGGTGATTATCCCGGGAATCCCAGGCATCTCCCAGGGCCTCCGGCAGCTGCCCTGGGCTGAGTCACCCCACAACCAGGACGGCCCCGAGCACCAAGCCGCTCTTCAAAGGTGCCGTGGGTGACTCCTCTTGGGATCGAGCCGGCATCCCCAGCACTTCCATCCTGGCATAACCCACGCGGTGTCTCTCCCCAGGGCCACCACGCTCTCCATGGAGACCGGCAGCTCCTTCCAACAGCTTGGCATGCAGCAGGCCCTCGAGCCCCCCAGGCAGCAGCTCCTGGGCTGCGGCAAGTGCAGCAGCACGGGCAGTGATCCTGGCAAAGATCCTGGGAAAGCTGCTGGGTGCAGTGGAGGCAGCGGGATCGGGAAGGGGCCGGTGCCAATGGTCTGCAGCACTCCGTGGTGAGAGCGAGGGGCTGGGCCAGGAGGGAGACTGGGAGGTGGGCAGGGGAAGCTGTGGCAGTGCCAGGACAACGGGGACCCCAGGTTGGTGGTGGGGAAAAAGTCTGAGGTCTGTGATCCACCATGTCCCAGCATGGCCCAAGGGAGAAGACGGGATCTGCAGGGAATGGTGCTGTGTTGGGCTGCTCCCAGCAGCAAGGGAGACAGGTGTGTGCGGGCTACCTGCGCTGTCCCCAGGGAATCTGGAGTCCAGCTGGACACTGGAATGGGGTAACATGGATCTGAGATGACAGGAAGCTCTGGGGAGGTAGAATGGAGCTGGGTCCCCTCTAACAGCCTCGTCCCTGCAGTGGGAACCCCTATGCAGGGCTGGTGAGCCACCTGCGGGCATCCTGGCTCTCTGGGAAGACGCGGCCCCTGGAATACCGCGTGGCACAGCTGGAGGCTCTGGGACGCTTCCTGGATGACAAGAAGCAGGAGATCCTGGAAGCCACTGAACTGGATATGGGCAAGGTAAGAGGGGGCTGGGAATTGGGGGCCACTGGCATCACATCTTTGAAGTCCTTCATACTCCGTTGTCTGGGTATTGCATCCTTGTGGGGGTCTGGGCACAGGGGTGTCCCTTTCTTGGCGTTCTGATTCCCCCTTGATGTGCTCCCAGGCTGGTGCATCTGTAAGTGCAGATCCAGGGATAGTGGAGGGACCGTGCTGTTGATCCCATCCCTGGTGCCCTGAAACCAGGCAAAGGCCCTGTCGGTGAACTGCCAAGGTGGGAGTGTTTCACACTCTGATCTGCATCCTGGGGATCCATGTGACCTCCACATCCTGGGGTGCTCCTGGCCAGCCTGGCACGCCCAGGATTACTGGCATTATGCAATGTGCTGGCACTGCACATTCCTCCCAGGGCCTCCAAGGGACTGGTTTCACTGGCACGGTGGCATGGGCAGGGCTCTGGATATGGCTCAGGGTATTGTGGCATGCCAGGAGCTCCTGGATGATCTGCTGATGAAGCGGGAGCATCCACACTATGGATAATTCTAGTGGTTGCACCTCATCATCTCTAGAAGCATTCATGGCCAGGTTGGATGGGGCTTGGAG